CAATTAACTGTGCACTTCCCCACACAAAAGGCACAAATTGATAATCATCGAGGCTCCACACCCCATGACTACCTGCTGGTTCCATCCTGTACACCAACTGCAATCGTCTGATAAATTCCATATACCTAAAAACCCAACCACGAATTAAATTGTGAGTAAAATATTCTGGCATTAAAAAAATGCGATTGGATAATTTCTTAGTCACCTGCTGAATACTTTATTTACAGCAGCTACTTTATCGTCAGACTGGTAAGCCCCTATTTTGAATAAACAACAGAGGAACATGATAAAGGCCATTTCATGGCCCGTTCCGTAGTCAATGCGTGTCGCGTTACCGAATCCCTCGCAGAGGTATGGACTTAATTCAGGAATTGCTCTGTGCAAATCCTTTGGTAATACTTTTTTCAGTTCATCTTCGCTTCTCTGATAAAGGAAAAATGAGAAAAGATGACACGAATGTTACTTTTTCTGGTTAAATAACGGTAGAATATTTATAAAGCATTGCTGACCTCCAGGAGTCGCCCATGCCAATCTCGAAACGATTTATTCCCAAATCTCTGAGGCTGATCTGTTGGCGGAATTTCCGTTAGCCATTGGTCAAAAATATTCAACATCGCAACTGTGTTCAGAAGTGTTTGAGAAGCTGGATACTTTGAATTGGCGGCTTTGCCTTGAACAGCTTCATTCAGAGCCAGTATGAACCCCAAGTATTCCTGGAGAACATGAAGATGTATTCAAATTCAAAGCGGAAAAACTAACAAAAATAAATAAATCAGGGTTTACATTGTAGGCTTCTGATTTTTCCCATGTCACCATATCCTCCATGGTTTTTACCGCCTTCGTAGGGGTCTCAAAGACATGATCCTTCCCTGAAAATCCGTCAATAAATCCGTCAATCCATGAATTAATTTGTAAATTGTCAAACCGTTGTATTTGCAAAGACTCAACATACCCACAACCCCATGCTCAACCAAATGAGCCCCTGGCACTGACATTTTCCTTAAATAAAAACCTCTAACTCCAATATTCAATGAATTTTTTGAATGTTCAATGACCGAGTCATTGCTGTGCGTGAGTTATCTACTGAAAATATGCCGGGAAGCGGTCAGTTACTGTTGGAATGAGTAAATTTTTGAGAGGTTAAGTTTCAGTTATTATCTGCGCAGAAGAATATTCTGTTTATTTACACCCACCCTAACCTGAGAGAAAAGATTTTTCCTGCTCCTCTCCTATTGGACACTGAGAACATATCCATTTGCCATTGGTCGCAAAAGCCAGTACACATCCATCAGTAAAAATATATACAAACAGCAAAAACTATCGTGCAGAATGCTGCAAAATGTTGGCCTCCAAAAATTGTGTTTGCTGATATAACTCATGCCCTTTTTCATTTTCTAAACCCAAAAAAATTCACCACAAGTGCCATCGCCAGGTATTCACAGTCCCAAATTATAATCATTGTTAATAACAAATGAGAGGTTAACCGATACTAATATAATTTTCTAAACATGTAGCCAGCGGATCATCAAGACGTAAATAATGTACTCCCCAGCGGAAATTGAGAAGAAGCGGCTGCTGGCGCAACAAAAAAAGGCCCAGCTGACCCAAAATCGAATGAAAAATACTCAACCAATGAAACAATCCATGACCCCGACTAAAGGACGTCCCTTAAGTAACGCAGGTTTTAATAAATCGGGGAATAAGTACTCAGCCTATAACAGTTCTTCCCCCGGGGTCAAGAGAAAATGGGAATCAAAGGATACATCTGGAAATAATCCGAAACATATCAAGCACTTGACGACAGTTCCGCCTGACAGTTTTTTTGGTAAAACAGAGAGGCTTAAAGCAGTATGCAAGATGATAACAAGTGCTAGATTCGAAGTTGAAGTGCCATATCATACCCAACTCGTTGAATTCTTCAAGACAATTCCCACCAAATCGTACGACCAAAAGACAAAACACTGGAATTTCCACATCAACGATTACTCGTCATTAATTAACGGGATGAAATCCCAATTTACTGGGCACATCGATGTCTCGGGCATTCCGAATTTCATTCTCCAGACATTCAAAAGTAATCTGGAGAAGAAATCTGATTTGAAGGAGGTAGATCTCTCGAAAATAGATAATGTGTTGATATCCAAACTGATGCCTTTCCAGCGTGATGGAATTCTCTTTGGAATTGAAAAGCGTGGACGCTGCATGATTGCTGATGAGATGGGTCTTGGCAAAACAATCCAAGCCCTCGGGATCGCACATTATTTCAGGGAGAACTGGCCTTTGCTCATCGTCACACCGACATCAGTAAGAAATCAATGGTCAGATGCAATTTGCGAGTTCCTGCCATCCATTCCCTATCAGCACATCTTTCGTTACTCCAGTGGAAAAGATCGTCTTGATAAGGAGAAGATTACGATTGTCTCATACGATTTATTATCCAGAAATATTCAAGCTTTTGAGCAGAAAGCCTTCGGCTTCGTCATCTTCGTGAGTATTTGTTCACTTCATTTAATCTTTATTCTCAATTGAATTGAATTTCAATTGAATATTTAAGAGTTGAAATATTGTTGTCTTCCAGGATGAATCCCACACACTGAAAAGCCATAAAACCGAGCGAACAAAAGCAGCACAGCGAATAGCATCAACAGCAAGACACGTTCTGCTATTGACAGGAACTCCAGCCCTGTCGAGGCCCATCGAGATATTCTCCCAGATCTGCTTGGTGAAGCCTAACTGGTTGAAAATTCATGACTACGGTGTTCGATACTGTGAAGCTAAAAAAGGACAATTCGGCTGGGATTACCAGGGAGTTTGCAATACGTCAGAGCTTCAGCTGCTTCTCAAAGCCTCATTCCTCATCAGAAGACTGAAATCAGAGGTTCTAACGCAGCTCCCTGAGAAGCAACGCCAAGTCATCATGCTGGACCCTGAATTAATAAAGGAAGGGACCAAAGAGATGAAGAAAATGGCTGAAAGTCTTCAGGCAAATACGTTGAAAGGTTTCGAGAAGCATTCTGAACTCTTGAGGTACTATTCCGAGTCGAGTAAGCAGAGGTTGACAGCTGTGGGGAACTATGTCAGGGATTTGATCGATAAGAAAGAGAAATTTATCATCTTTGCGCATCATCAATGTGTTCTTGACAAAATTTCGGAAGTTTTGGATAAGAATGGGATCAGATACGTTCGTATCGATGGCAAGACATTACCAGACGCGAGGAAACAAAGTGTTGATGAATTTCAAGTGTCTGAGAATTGTTTAGCTGCTGTTTTATCGATAACTGCTGCTAATTCTGGAATTACACTGACTGCTGCTAGTCTCGTTGTATTTGCTGAGCTCTATTGGAATCCTGCGGTAAGATTCAATCAATTTTTCCAGTTGAATCGGAATATTTGATCGTTAGTAATATATAAATAATTTTTTGTCTGTTTATTTTCTAGGAGTTGACGCAAGCTGAAGCCAGAGTTCATCGCATTGGTCAACGAAATTATGTAGTGATTCAGTATCTCATAGCTAAAGGCACAGTAGACGATATCATCTGGCCTCTCCTCCAGACCAAGGCAAACTTTCTGCAGAAGGCTGGCTTGGACCAGAATTTCTCACTCTCTCAGGCAGAGCTCAGGCATCAGCCCAACCAGGAGCCCTTCACCTCTGAAGAGAAAAAGAATACTCTCGAGGCATTTGGATTTTCTCAATCATTTTCCAGCCAGGACGACGAATTCCTCACCCCTATGGAGAGCTTTACTGCACAAAAGGAGGGAAATGCATCTACATCAGCTGAAAGTGCTAAAAAAACTGTCGAATGTGATAATATTTCAGTGACCGAGGATTTCGCGAAATTATTGGAGGATGATGCGGAGGATTTCGAGAACATAGATCTTGATAATATCACCTGAATATTTATTTATCAAGGGGTTTGTTTCGAGGAGAGAACATGGTTTATATTTTTGCTAATAACATGTGATGTTTTTTCTATCATCAGTTGGATTAATCAATTTGTTATGCAATTGTTTCCAATTATTTTGTTATTATTATTATTTTAAGGAGTTTTATGACCAGAAAAAAGCATCATCAGTCAGGACTTTTTTTTATTTCAGTAGCAAAATAGTGAGGTGGTTCAGATAATTCGATAACGAAGAGAAATTTAATTATTAAACTCGATTCATCTCATTTACAACTTTATTATAGATATTTCGTGGACATACTCTTCCTTAAACGCTTGTTCTTTTCTATTCCCACATTTATTTCTCCCGTCATCCGGTGAGTTGAAAGGGCCAGATGTGTCGACATGGCAACGAGCAAATGAAAACAAACAAAAAAGCCATGGTACACTAAAAATGCCGATCCTCGATCTTTTTTCAATTCCCGTTGAGTTGAAAATAAAAACACGATTATTCGCTATTAGCACTTCAGTTGTTTATTTATTAATGACAGCTGCCATAGTTCTGCCAGTGATTATTGCGTATAATGCCGGAGGTAATTGCATTGCTGTTGTGATTAGAATTTTATTGATTCGTTCATTTATTCAATCAATTATTCAGGATTTTGGTTGAGGAATCGAATGTACCTCGAGTCTCCAAGGATTCGATTTATGTACAAGTATTTATTATTAGCGGAGAGAGATTTTAACGTACCACCAATTGTTTGCTCGACATTTTCCACTTATCAAGAGGTTCCGATTAAAGATGACTGCATCACTGTCAAGGTAAGACATCATGTTCTCTCATTATTCACCTCGCACGAGTGATTCTTTAATATAATATCTAGGTACGAGAGGGAGATATTAATAAAGACACAGTGAGGGATGTTTTAAAGTTCGAAACGAAATTCTGGAGTGGTCAGGCAATAAAATCAGTGAAGCTACTGTTGTGGTTTGAATTTCAATTAATGGTGAGTGATGCTGATCAGCTGTTGATCCAATTTAATATCACGTTTATATGATTATTTTAGGACATAATTCAGCACAAGGCTGAAACTCTCGTTGCATTTGACTCGATATTATCCCAGGACTGTCAGAAGCTATCAATAATTGGGAATTTAAAACTCAATCAGAAAGGAGTAATTCGTAGGAATAACTTTCCTGAAATTCCAACAAATAAAACGGTCGAGTTGACAGAGCACTCTCTGGACGAAGTGCTCTCCCACTATGCCAGAAAATCATGTGAGTTTCAAGGACTTCTTGTTATTATCCTTTCAGATCTGACGTTGACCTTCTCCTTGATCTCCAGTTTCAGCGGAATTAATAAATACCAAAATGATGCGACAGACTGGTTTCGCTGATGATATGCCGATCACGATATCAGCCGAGATTTTTTACTCAGAGCAACTGTTATATTATCAGCCTTCCATATGGGAGGAGCTCAAGTGGGCATGGATTCAATATTTATCCATGTTATTTGTGACATTGTACTTCATCAAACGTATTTTAAGAAATCTCTTTCTCCGAGGTCGTCTACGAAGCTATATAATCGCTCCTTGGAAGAAGGAAGTGTAGAATACCCACGTCACCTAAATAGTCTCCAATTTTTTATTTAAAAAATCACTCCAGTAGAATTGTTTCATTCAATTATCTAAAGTGTCAAAAATTGTAATAAACTGTTTTATAAAATCCCAATAAAATGTTCCAACGAGTCTTGTCGATTTCCAATTAATGTTGAGTAACCAAATTTTTCATAAAAATCAATTATATTATTGATTGAACTTGAAAAAATCACTGGTTTATATAAAAAAGTCCTATAATACTTCCTTGTGATTCAATAAAAAGCGAGATAAATTCATGATTCCATAAAAAATTGGATTCCATAATTTTGGTAGTGAAATGTTGATGGTGTCCTTGGGATGGGGACGAACCAGGGCATCCTTGATCCTGAAGGAGTTCGGATCGAATATCAAGTGCAGTCCTTGGGATCCTCATCGTCAACTCGTCGTTATACATCATTTAACACCGAGAATACTGGCTTTTCGGATCGATATGCAAGACTCCCACCCATCCACCCCCAGCGTTGAGCCGAGTGGATGTATCTTCGTGTGTGGCCACATGAACGATGAAATTATTTCAGTGTGCGTTGGTTTATCCCTCTTGGTGCCTTTGGACCACTTCACTCCGACGTTGTCGACGTTATAGTCACTTTCTCGTCCAGTTCTCGGCCACTGCGGTGTTCAATGAGTCTTGAGACTGCGCGTATCCACCGGGTTCTCCATACATTCCCATCATTTGCAGATGGCCAGTGTATTTTCATTTTTATATAAATCTATAAAATAATCTCTTAAATAATGATTTAATGAGCTTCTTCTCAGATCCCCTGTAAAGCTATGGGTAAGACTTCTCCTGTTTATTTTACAGTTAATTTAGACAAAGAAATTTAAAATGCTAATGCCAATGACTTCTTCATTCACAAGGAGCAGCTTTGGCTTTTCATTTTGATTTTTTCCTGTGATGATTCCACTGGAGAAGTGATTATGTTTGTGAATGAGAGTGGGACTGATTTAAGTTGTCAAGGAGATGAGTGCGTTATCAGTTTTGTTGTTTATTATGATAAGGTGGAAGGGGGTGGAATTGTTGGGGTAAAATAATTCGTGGAGTTGTACCTGATTTTCTCTTTTATTTTGTGATGGTTTTTCTTTTCGTTGTTGAATGCATAATTGAGTAGCACTTGTGGTGATTTGAATTTCAGCCTAGAGACGTGATCGCGAGAGACTTGAGACTATCCGAGAATATTCTTAGAGCTTTGTATTGATAAGAGATGACGACGAGGTCGAAAGAGAAAGTTGTCGCAGCGTTCAGGAAAATTTTCCGGGCGTCCGAGAAGATCAGCGATCAGGAGGGTGCGAGCAGCTCGACGAGTTCACCTTCTAGACGAATTCTGAGTCGTCATCATCGTCCGGATGCTGTTACACCCTCCGATGGAACTGTCCCAGACAATCCTGGGACTAGTCACACTGGCAGTTGTTTCTTCAAGTCGAAAAAGAGTGGGAACTGCTCCCAGGTAGTTTCCTCACATTTTTGTCAATCGACACACGATTATTCTATTGACATTGTCATAAAACTTAATTATCTGCTGAACAAATTGATCAATTAAACTGGAAGAACGGAAATATTAAAATATTTAATAGGTTTAAGAAAGCTAGATAAATTTTTGAGAGGGTTTTTGATTTTGCAAATGATTGCAGCCTCCAATAAATATCCCAGAACGTGGGGTGCGTCTTCGTCGGCTGATGAAGGAACTCAGTGAGATTCAACGGAGTCAGCATCGCCGTGACTCAACATTCACAGCTGAACTTGTCAATGACAATCTCTTCGAGTGGCACGTGAGACTCCACAAAATCGATCCTGAGAGTGAACTCGCTGCCGACATGAGGGAACTCGATATTCCACACATATTATTGCATGTAATCTTCCCTGAGACCTTCCCATTTGCACCACCATTCATGAGAGTCATATCCCCGAGAATAGAGAAGGGTTTTGTAATGGAAGGTGGTGCGATATGCATGGAGCTCTTGACACCACGAGGATGGGCGAGTGCTTACACCATTGAGGCTGTCATCACGCAATTCGCTGCTAGCATTGTCAAAGGACAGGTGAGTTATCAATTTTTCATCTCAATTGTGCGAGAGTCCCTAACAGGCAAAGTTCATGTAAATTCATTTATTTATTTATTTTATTAGCCATTGAATGGCAGAATGAACTAAATCGAATCTTAATTGATTTATTATTTGTTAAATTTGTTTGTTATTTGCAATAAAGGGAAGAGTAGCGAGAAAACCGAAGACGAATAAAGAATTCAATCGTCGTTCAGCTGAAGAGTCCTTCAGGAGTCTTGTAAAAACCCACGAGAAATATGGATGGGTAACTCCACCGCTGGCTGAAGGTTGATCGTTTCCTCCAGAACAAAAAATAAAATACATACCGCAGGATACGGCCAAATATTGAATTCTTATCCACTGAAAATTCATCCCACTATTTTTAAATCCAGGGAAAAATGGAAAATTGCATTGTCGACTCGTCGTAAGAAATTCGCTTTTGCGCGACAAATTTTTATTGATAGATTGAAAAAAAAAACACATTGTTCTAGTTTTTTATGGCTGCCAAATTCCTTTGTACCACGTACCACGATTATGTAACACGTACAATCGTTGATTACAAATGTCCTATGATTTTTCTTCTGAACTCTTGGAAAGGCACTTTCCCGTTATTATCATTGCATTATCAGTAAAAATGTAAATTTTCACCTAATGGGATAAATAATTCTAGAATCCATATCATATTGGCTTCCAGCTGCAATACAAAATGTTTATATAAAGAAGCTTATTTTAAACTAAAGATGGGCTGAAAGGGAAATAATCGCCTCGTTGTGTGAGCAAAAATCCACACTGGTGCAGCGATTTGCCTCTAAATGAAAAATTGCTAGTCATAATGTATTAAAAATAAGTATTATACTGTATGTGCCAAATAAATAATTATGTCCCAAAAACTAAAAGAAAATTCACTTATCAATAAATACACTAGTATCATCTAGAAATGTCGTGGGAATGTGTCACCTAATGATTTACAAAAAGAAACGAAATTATTGTCTGCGAAAGGCTTCGGAATGTCCAAAATTATGCGTCCACTTGTCTGTACAAATGTTACCTTGATGATTTAAAATTTCAGTTTAAAATGTCTCTTACACCGAAATGATGAAGGCATACTTAATCGAAATCCGAGGGGTTTGAACTCTCGTTATCACAAGTGTAGAGTAAAAAGGAGTTATCATTCCGATGCAAAGTCGACGATTTCTCGAGCACAATGGTATTTGCCACAATAATGAGCAATCTATAAACTTAATTGGCCCCAGCAGTTCTCAAGCAGAGATTCATCATTGCAATCGATGAGTTTTATCAATGTACAAACGTTCCTCCATCGTTGATGACTCAGCAATCAAATGGGCAGAACATGCAGTTTTGGATTATGCAACAAAATTTATCTATTCTCTTAATCGTCTTTCTCTTCAGGAATGCACATGAATAATTTAGCGCATGTCGTGTTGAATTTCTCTGGATAAAAAAAAAACAGTAAAAATACAATTCAATTAATTCTGGTAATTGATAAATGGATTCTATATCGTCGGGCACTTACGCGATGAATTGACAAGCCACTTTGGCTTGGTGGGCATCCAAATGAAGACCAAATACACTGGAATTCCAGAGAGTATGATGATTATTCCTATTCCTACTTCCCATGGAGTTATGTAAATCGGGAATGTCACGAGGAACACGCAGATGATCAAGAAGATTATTGGGAGTATCGTAGGTACCTGGAGAACGGTCCAATATATTAATTAACATTCACGAATTAATGATATTAATATTATGAAGATTAAATCTCTTATTTTTTATTGATAGAAAAAAATCTATACGATATGCGGATTTATTTCGGTTTCTTCACATTTTCATTTTTTTTTCTACTAAAAATATTATATTTTACGGAAATAATATGAACAGTGGAGAAATATCAATATCATGTCATCTGTGATGATAAGTTTTACCTCGAGGGCTCAGTATTAAATGCGCGCGCTCCGCACGCGTCCTTTATTTAAATCGGCAAATTCATGTAATGAGGAAAAATATTCTGTAAATTACCCTGATCGGTCGTTCGAGATTGGGTTTCTTGTGTCTCATCCACAGTAACCCGGAGACTGAGAGTGTTGTAAAGAGAGCCTCAACGAAGCTCACGTAATTTATCAGCGAATAGACGTCCTGTATTATCAGCAACGAGAGTGTGATGATGCACTGGAAACGGAAACGATCATTTAGCCCAGCTAGTACTGGAGTTAGAGCACCTCCACACAATCACTTGGGCCCAAATTATTGGCAAAACTAATGCAAATTGTCATTAAAGAAATTGTAAGCAAATGGAGCCCTTAAATGCAGTCACGGACTCAACAGGAGAAATAATTTTTCAATAATTATAGACAATGGTGGGAGCTGTGTTTGCACAAATTGGCCGACAAAGGGACGGACTATATCTCGACTTCCGTTTGACGAAACGACAAAGAGTCGCCAGATGAAAGCAGCAATTTAGTATCTCCCAATGCGATTAGGATAGTTGGTTAAGGGATAAGTACTTCTAATGAAAGTTATTCATGGACGTTCTTCTGAGAGCAATTTCAATCTCTCTGACGAAAATATTAATACAATGATATATTCTAAAGTAGCTGGACGCTGACTGACTGTCTTGAATGCTTACGTACTGCCTAAAAGTAAAATAATCTGACTCTACTTACGAGAAATATGAGCGATGGCATTGGTGTCAGGTTTTGAATGTTTATAAGCGCTATTGCATTTGGAAGGTGTCCATTTCTAGCGCCAACGAAGAATAATCTTGACGATGCAAAAATTGCACCGTTCAGAGCACCAAATGTCGAGCAAGCAACGAAGACTGGCATGATCCAGGACATGGGGCCAAGTAATTTATCCCCAAAGGTCTGAAAATATTTAACAATTCCGGAGTGAAGGGGTAAAATCGGATTTTCGTGGAATTTGAGATGATTTTAATTCTCGATTTGCTTTAAAAACTATGAATTTCTCGTGGAAACTTCCAACAACTTTTTTCCAGATGATTAAATATCCCACAAAAAAGGCGTTTTTATATTTCCACTCAAAATGAATAGTTCATTAATATCAATCGATCCTGATGAATGGTAAATTCGTCTCGTGTGACTCTATCACTCCTCTGCCAAACAAAATACAATGACTAAAATAAAATGATGGAGTGAGGAAAAATCGGAGGGTTGGACGCACCACTGCAACAGCATTCGACGCCAAAATATCATCTCGCGACAATACAGCGAAATACGCAAGATTCACTAAGACATAAATCACGGTGATGAGTGGTAGGGAGATGCAAATAGCATTCCGTAGATTTCTGAAAGCAGAGAAAAAAAAGTCCCTCTTAGAAAATAAATAATCCATTGACAGATGAAGCTCTAAATTCTGAAGGGAATAGAACGACAGGTATATTTTTTTGTAGCGTTTTACAAAATCTTTTCAGTCCCGCAAGTACCTCACCGAGTACCCAACGCGAGGTATTCTTCTTTCATTCGCAGATAACTTTTCATACTTTCCCTCAAGGACAAACTAACCGTCGAATTTTCTAAGGGGGCTGGCACCTATTATCGTGTGCCCCTGCATTCACTTGAATAGCCCGTTCTGAAAGTCCTCAAAAGTGAAAGCCATAATAAAGACGGTGATACACCCCTTGTACCCCATATAAAATCTCTTCATTACTTCACGGCAAAAAAAAAATAAACATCTCGTTACTTGATGTTTACCTGTAGGGATCCTTGAGCTCTTCGGTCACAAAATTTAAGTAATTCCATCCAGAGTAGGAGAAAAGGCCCGAATAAATAGCCAGAGCCAGGTATCCAGGCTCCGTATTGGTCCCCTTCATCGGTTGAGAGAAGGGTACAGAGTCATTGGTGGAAAAATAATACAGTCCAGTTGCTATAATAATTATCAGTGCGAATATTTTTGTTCCAGTGAAAACGTCCTGTACCCTCGTTGCCCATTTCACATTGTAGCAGTTGATCGCTGTTAAAAGACCTGTTCGCGGAAAAACAATTTCCCTTAATTGACTAAATCAATGATCAATTGAGAATAAATGAAATATAGAGTTGAGGTTTGCTGATTTCTTGAAATGCGAAATATCGATGTACTAACACGTTACAACAGCTGCTAGAAGTCTCACAGCGTCGTGAGGGGGTTCACAGCCAGACCAGAGTGGCTGAAGTATATACTGAGCAAATGTCAATGCTGTTATTGCATTTCCAGTTGGTACGAGGATGAATAAAGCCACCCAGAGGTACAAAAATGCCGGTAGACCACCGTATGCCTCACTTATGTAGGCGTAATCTCCACCGGATTTCGGTATCATCGTACCTGAAACAACAAAAAATCATAATCTTCATATGCATCCTATTTTACGGCTCGTTCTTATAGCTTTTTTTGCTGACAGTATAATTAATTATTAAAGCCTCATCTGTGAACGTCATTCCTCCTTAATCAACTCTTGTCGGACGCACATCTCCTTTAACGAGGAATATTATTTAGCAGTTGTTACGTGAGTGCATTGCACCGAGCAACGGATCGATGATGTCCACAAAATGTTCACTGCAGCTTGCATCAGCGTCATACCAGGCAAAAAATTTCAACTTTCCTTAAAATTATTCTACTTCTTTATTTACCATATTTCCTCCTGCATTCCCTTCTCCCGTTTTTGAAGTATTAAATTTATAGTAGCTATCAATACTCGTTATTGGTTTTTACACGCTATTGCATAGAAAATAATTGATCAATTACGGTTAGAAGCTCAGAAGTGAGTTGAATGGATGAGGTAGTAAAAAAACACGAGCCAGGGGCCACAATTCAGGTAAAACGACGTGAGGTGATGCAATTTTTGGAACACGTTGCTGAACTATTACCGAAACCCACCACCTATTACTTTTATTTCCATTTTTTATCTCTATCTCCCATTGAAATCTTCAAAGCCGGAACTTTTTTCAACAATTCGATAATTTCTAATGATTAAAAACGTTCTGCCTCATCAATAATAATTATTAAAATACAATTAATTACTATAAATGTCAACATTTTAAACCAAACAAATAAAATATAAATTAAAAAATTCATTGCAATAAAAAAAAAGCAGTAAATGAGTTCGAGTTGACTAGGCCCTTCGGTTTTCCGGACATATCTCCGAAACCAAGGTAGATAACGAGATTACCGTAATTACCGTTTTTACAGCTTTTTATGGGTTTTACAGAAAAGATAGGAATGGAAATTTAGCTTATCTCGCATAGCTCCGGAGATATCTCGGAAAAACCGATGAAAGATCTAAATTAGACTCACGGAATTGACTCATTGACTCTCTCTTTCTGCATAAATAAAATCAAATAATAAAAATTCAAGGGAAAACTCACCAAGTTCTGCATAACATAATGCACCAACGAGTGACAGCACCCCCGAGAAAACCCATACGACGATGGCCAATCCGACACTTCCACTGGACTTCAAAACCCCTTTGGGTGATACAAAAATACCAGCACCAACGATAACACCTACGATAATAGCCACTCCATCCAGCAGTCCCAATTCTTTCTTCAATTTAACACTCTGGACTTCCTTAGGTTTTCCAGGAAGAATCTGCCTCTCGGCTGGTGCAACCTTGTCTGGCATTGTTCTACGATTTTATATTCCCTTGAGTCGCGATATAAATAATAAATAATGAAAAACAGCTACAAAAGATGTTGACCGATCGACAGCTCGTCGACAAGTGTCGAGATAGCTTCCATTCGCCTCGGTATTATCTTAGAATTTTTGAAGGCACACGTGGAGGGAAAACACTTAGAACGACTCATAAACCGCCTATTTCGGGCATTGACTGGCTAACACGTGCTCAGCATCTTCTTCCACCACTTTGCCATATGGCCAAGAGCTCTCATTGGTCCGTTACACCAATACAATATGAACAATGTGAACAATCAAATCTAAATATTCAAATCTCAAAATATCGGAATATCCCCTTCCTACTTCACCATTATCTCTGCATACAAATTATTTCTTCTACACCAGTGAATTGTTATTATCATCGCACTTGAACATTTTTTTCAAATACTTTCCCTCGTCATTTTACCCACTGAAACTTTACCGGTGGATGATCACATCGCTTCTAGTCCACAGATATGGGTTTTATTAATTCCGGCAATAATGTGCTCACATGCAGAATATTTACGAATTTTATTCACTCTTCCGTTCAACTTCTGCGACTCAAATTATACGCAGAATGAGACTATCAATAGTAAAACTCATGGTTCAATTTTCACTGTCGATATTCAATAATATTTTGTATCACGCACTTGTGTTATTGAAGATAATATTTACTCAGAGTGTGAGGCCGTAGTGGGACGAACGGTGAAACGATAATAATGAAAAATAGGGTACGAGGTGTTTTTGGAGTTGAATAACAACTATTTCTTAAGAGTTAGCTAGAATTTGAGATAGTCGAAATAATATGATGAATTAAATTGATTAAAATGCAGCAGGGCTCGCAGCAGCAGCCCACACGTTACTGGAAGTCATTGACGGTGTCGAAGCCCTCAGGAGGATACCCTCGATTCAATTATGGCATAAGCGTACCACTCGTATTAAAATCATTTTCAAATTGACAGAGTCAGTTTAACGTGACATCATATACTACTACGCCACTGCCTCTCCTCCGTCCCATATTTCCGGGATTTTCCCTGCCCCATCCAACAAAATCCTATCGTCAACTTTCATTGGCTTATTTTTTTTTTCATGATAACCCAGTGTTCTACTTCCTAATGCCGTTTCGTTGAATGAATTCCAAGTCATTGGATGACAAACTCTTGCCTCGAAACGTTGAGAGAATAATATCCGTCCCGCGGTAAATTAAAATGACAAATGCACACGAGTTCAGATGGAAATGAATTTTCTACGGATTCGCCTTGGATCTGACCTCATCAGCTGCTTTTCTCAATCTCTCGGATATTTCTTTCATCTTCGCACTGCGCTTTCTTTGCTTCTCTAATTTTTTATCAGAAATATTTTTCACTCCGTTGTCCTGTGAATCCACTGATGCTTGACTCATTGCATCGGAGTTCTCATTTTCGACATCCGATTTCTCAGGGGATTGGTCTTCCCTCAGAAGCTGCACCTCAGAAAGATCACCAGGATTGTCACCAGGTGGACAGGACTCACTCACCTCCACCTGGTTGTCCACAGGATTCTCTTCAGGATTCTCCTCAGGATTCGCCTTGGAACTGGAGTCCTCTCCACTTTCTGAATCTTTTTTAATTTTCCGTCTAGCCCTCTGTTTAAAAACATGGAGATACCCTTGGTTTTTAATCTGCGAGGATTTGGGTGATGGTGAGATATCTTCATCGGGTGGGATGTTGTCTTTCGAAGTGGAGGGGCCTGGATCGATGACCATGGATGGGCCTGGATCGATGACCATGGATGGGCCATCGTGTGTGCTTTGATACTTAGATACTGGGGATTCCTCTGCACCTTTAACTTTTGTCTGATACATGGCGAAAGGATTTTCCTCGTCAGATTCGGAATCCGGTTCAATCCCCTTCTGTCTTTTTTCCTCTCGAATCTTCTGTTTTTCCAGGTACTCGTTCAAGGCCTCCAGACGCTCGTCTCGCATCTCCTTCCAGAGATTAAGAGCTGTCCAGAAATTTATCGATTAAAATTCAATTGATTAAGCTGATAAGGAGTTGAATAATAACTGAATAATAACTGAATACCTCCTTCCTGATAATTTGGGGGGACACCAGCCTCTTTTAGTGCTTCCAAATTCGGAACGCATTGAGAATTATCTGAGTCTCCTATAACTTCCAGTCGGGGTTTCACAAATACTCTCTTCATCTTGAGAACCTTGCGGGTCTTCGTGGAGTATTTGACCTTCGGTGTGACGTCAAACACTGGGTCATCAATGACAGGATTCTTGTCTTTTTCGAAGAATAAATAAGTGCCAACAGCCTCCTCGTACGTCCCTTCGTAGTACTGAAAAAATTATTGATTTAACATTGATAAATTATTAACAATCATTCGCAGTGATATTGCACTCTTACTCGACCATTGACCCTCATAATTGGATGTTCCATATCCAGTCCAATCATATCCAGTTGGAGTTTTTCCTTCGAAAAGACATCACTCTGAGTTGTCCCTTCGAACTCGACGTACACCAGGAGTTCGCTTTCGTCCTCTTCTAGGGGGGAGTCATCTTCAGACATCTCAGAAATACTCAGCAAAATTTATTCCACTTTCTCCTGTTTTTCTCGAAATTAATTTCGTTTTTATTATTAACTCTTAACCTTGTGGAAAGCTTTCACTCAGTCAACAATCACACATGAGGTAAATGGAGCACATGGTCGTTGTTGCAGGGTAGATAAAGAAGATATCTGTCTCAGTCATATTCAAAGTCATCTCCAAAGAGGTTAGGTGTCAATTGTCTGTTGATGTGAGCTGTCAGGCGAAGAAAAACCATCCGTCAGAAGTTGAACATATTTTCAAAGTTTTCGATATCAACAATATCGCGTGAATGTTTCATCAGTGAATATGGAGAACGTGGAAATTGAAGATTTTTATCATTATGACTTTACAACTGCAACAGAGTGGGAAGTATTTATTGCAAGGCTGGAAGAAATAATGCACGAGTGGAAACTGCCCCAGACGAAAATTGGGCCTTCCTTGAAAGCTAAGGACTTTGTCAATTTGTCATGGGATGAACAATCAGAGGAATTGAATTTCGCAGGTATTTTTATTTAAATGCGATTATTCGGAGTTCTTAATCTTCTCGATATTTATTCTCCTGTTCTTCTTCTTACTTTATTCTTCTTACTTTATTCTTAATTCCCAACTAATGAAATGTGGATGAAAATATTTTTTGGAGAAAAATCAATTATCAATCGAGAAATTCAATTAAAGATATACTTTTTAATTTTTATGTAAACATAAACATTTATATAACAACCCGCGACCTGTACGTGAATTCAATTTTCATTTTCAGACGTTGGATTTGTCCTAAAACATTATAAATTAAAAATAGAGGATGAAGGAGAGGAGGAAGATGCTTTTCGTGAGAGTACCCAAACGCACATCGATGTTCTCAACATCTCCAACGATTTTCTGAGGGTTGACGGTGACCACATGAAAATCGCCAAATACTACGGTCTGAGGGAATTCATAGTTCTGGCTCCAACCAAACGAATGGCAATCACAGATGAAACGAGATTAAAAATTCTCATTGGCTCTTTGACAATCGCAGCTAACAATGCCAACTGTGAAATTCCAGCTCTAGTTCAAGGCCAAGAATTGTGGCAGCAATTCTACCTCGGTATCAGCGTTGGGAGAGGAACAATGTCGCATTTAGACATGGTGCATTTGAAAAAAACACCACCTCACTGTAGACACCTCACAGGCTTGCTGGCCCTTTTCAAACAAAAAGTCAACAATGACTGTGGCATAAGACTCGAGCCAGTGATGGTCTCCGTGAGATTTTCTTATCTGCTGAAAGATTGGACGAGTCACACGTGGACACAAGAACCCCCTGACTTCGATTTTATGCAGGGGGAGACCGTTGGTGTCGCCGAACTGGGAAAACTGCCCTTCGGAGCAACTTTTGATCCTGTTGGAGAACTCAAGCTCTTCACCACTTGGCCCCAGATGGCCGAGAATGTAGTGATAGACAGTGAAAGTTTCACGGATTTAGAACCCCAACTTGCACCAGAATGGTCTGCAGTTGTCAAAATGATCCCCTCTCCAGCTTGCCTCCTTGGAGAGTATCTAACCGACTTTCTGGCACTCTGCAACAACCCCAGGAGTCTCGTAGAAATGCTCGGAGATGCTGCTGCCTACATGGATAATTCAGATCAGCTGTTGAGCTCTGCTTTCAACAGATTAACTGAATCCAGTATTCCAACAATATCCAAAGTTGTCAATAAAGTTCCGCGGAAAAACAGTAAAAATGTGGATGGACCTATTGCTGAGGAAGTCATGATACCTATACTCTATTTTCTCTTTCCTGATGCCGAGGAAAATCCAGTGGGTTTAGTATATTTATCAATTCATTAAATTATCAAGAGAAAATTAAATCACCAGAATTGTTCTGTTATTTTTTCTTTTTCTTTAGAAATCTCCATATGGCGATATGAACAGTTACAGTGGCGACGACGATTTGTGGAAAGGAATAAAAACGTGTGCCCTTGAGGGATTAGTCTGGAGATTGGCTATAGTGGCAGCTCACTGCACCCACAATCTGGGAGGTGCTGTTGCTTTAGCTCAACTCTGGCATGAGTTCGTCCAGGAAATACGTTTCCGGTGGGAACGTAGCATTCTGATCCCAGGGTGAGTAATCCCCCATCAAGTATTTCTTGTGAATTAAGAATAATGCACTCGTATATTTGATTCAACGGTACATAATTTACAAATACTGGGATTAATTGCGTTACAATGGTTCTCGCATTCGTTATTTTTCTATAATATTCGCGTCACGAATGGGTTTTTTATAAAAAACATTATTTATAGTTAATATAAATGAAGAGTTTATGCAGAAATCCCATTAATTGAGGAGTACCTACAGTCTTTGGAAGAGCCACATGTCACTGATTAAACATTTTAAGAGTATTTAACAATAACGCTGTCATGTTGGAAGGATTGCGGTGGAGTGGCCTGTAATCTCATCTAAAACTAATTGTCGATGAGAATTTCACTAAATCTGTCCACTCATCTATCGATTAGTTGAGTCTTACCTTCGAGTATAAAAAGAGAATTCAGTAGTGAAGGGGTAAACAACAGTCGACTTCTGCCTCAATCGAAAATTCGAGGAATATCTGTAAATCTGAGGGAGATACCCAGATTTCGGTTCCGTTTTCTTTTCAATCGATTTACTACTGTTTACCTTTTCGATACTGAATTTATTAGACACGTGTTAGATTATTCTAGAATTAACTACAGAATTTTCAAGCACCAGATATCATTCTTCGAGATCTTCCACATTGAATAACTCCATTAATTCACACTCTAACCGTCATAATCTATGTTTATCTATTTTAATTATTCCAAAATTGACTTGGTAGTCAAAAGTGTCCTATATAGTACATCTATTTTCACCCTTCGAATTCAATATTTTTTTCCGCTAGTGAACACTCTTGAGCAATGCACGAAAAATATAAAAAAAAAATTGGTTAACTTTCTAAAGTGGTACAAGACCACTTCTCGTGGTTGGATTTCGTGACATGTAAATGTCCATGTCATGATCTGTCCAATTATTTTCCTCATAATTATTGAGTGTGTGAGTTGAATCAGCTAGGCTGTATCTGCTGCCAGGACGAGGCGGTGGATTCTGCTCGATGGTACGATTTCGAGATCTTGGACGTTGACGTCGTGCTGATGCATGGGGTGGTAAATGATTTCCTGGGTATCCATTACGTGACATTCTATCTGAAGCGGCCGCCAGTGATTGTCGGGACTGACGTAATTCTGTTCATTGGGAATCAACGATATTAACATCTGCACTGATGACTCAATTTATTCTCGTCAAATATCCATTTGCTTGAGAAATTGAGGAACAAGAAAAGCAACAGATATTCGCCAAAAATAAATTATTTCCTTAGTGTACACGAGATTGTACTGGTGCTAGTAGAAAAAAAAAACGAATTCCATCCCAATTTGTCGAGATCATTCACCCGAATTGCTAGAAGCAACAAAGCATTAAGGATATCCAAGTATTTTGATTTTACTACCACTGAATTTTTCGGCTTCTCTTCAAAAGCTTCTCCACGAATGCACTTAGTGAATTTGTTAATGGAATACCCATAACTCTTCTTCAATCCGTTGATTAAAAATTGACTGATCCCGATAATTTCTCATCCCGCCTCATTTAAATTCCATTTTTGAACTCACGAATACAATTATTGGAGTATAAATCGTTAAACCATCTCAGATATCCTTAATTGAAAATAGAGAGAGCCGACAAACCTGGCCGTGTATTGACGAGATTATTAGCAAGTGCAGTGTTTGCAAAGTAGCGTGATGAATTGTTGGAAAAGCTGTGCTGTGACTGTCCATCGGCGATTGAACGCGTTGATATTTTACCGCCATAATGGCTGGCCTGAGATCTCACATCGTCAATGCACGAGGCCCTCGTGATGGAGCCTGTGAATGAATTTTCAATGAAACCTTTAAAATAAATAAGCACATGGTCCCATTAAATTCTCATTGATTGATTTACCCTGGCGATCGATGGGGAATATCCTCGGCCTTGGAATGCTTCGATTGCTGTACGCAGACACTTGGTCCCATTCCTTCTGGGCATTATACGCACTGAGAGTGGCCATAGAAGCCAGGGGCCCAGCTGGACTCGGCGTTGGTCCCACATTGGAGCAACAATTGACTGGCAATCCAGATATTGGTCCACCACTTTTAGCCTGATCCAGACTGTGGATGGTGTGCAATTGTCGTGCCCTTCTTCTATTAGCAACCACAAAGATTATCACAGCCATTACAATCGTTGCACAGATAGCAGCGCTTGCTGCTATCGTTATCTTGTCCATATTTGAGGTCGGTGAGGGCTCCGTTCGTACCTCTCTGCACTGATTATAAGGTACATTAGCTGGTGTCACGTTCGAGTCCTCGAGGGAGAGAACGCAGACGATCAAGCACTCCTGTTCAAAATAAAGTCGTGAAAATAAAGTTTAAATAATGGATTATTTTAAGAACATCTGTGAATCTCAGAAAGAAAATAACTCACATTATCCGGCACATTTTTTATTTTGAATTCTCTCTCACTGGCATCGAGTGGTGGTGCCTGTTTGAACTCGTTGTCCCCGAAGACCCTGTAAACAACTCGGAATTCGATAGCCTTGGGGGACTGGCTGTCCCAGGTGATGATGACAGTGTTGTCTTGTCGGATGACTTCCTTGAGAATAATTCTGTCGGTATTTCTGGATTTGTAAAGTGGTCTTTGATCGGATGAGGCGAACACCATCGGTGGTTTGGGCTGATGCTGATGAATACTGTGATCTACACCTGGTGGTGGTGCTCTCGGTGCCTGTGTGGTTTTTACGATAACGACATTTCCAGTTCTTGCGACAGTGGGACGACTGGTGATCGCTGTTCTTGGAGATGTCGGGGATACGTCAGCCTGTCTGATATCAGTGGTAGATATTGGGCTGGTGAATGACGTGGAGTAAGTTGCATTTGTGTAAATAGCTCTTGGAGTGGTTTCACTGGTTGTTGGGAGAGTTGTAGATGGTGATCGTGTTGTGGGTAAAAGACCATCAACTACACCAGTCACCGGTCCCGTTGGCTCCTTGGTATCCACTGACTCGACTGTTCCAATGCCTATTATCTCCGAAGGCCTCTCGCACATCATTTCTGTAAGATAATCATTCATCTCGGGATTACAATTACGGACAATTGTCGGAATGCATCACAACTAATGCTAGTGTCAGTCAGTCGTGGAATTACCTTCAGGATCAATATTATAGAAACTCCTTTCCTGCAACCTCAGGGGACTCCCACAGAACTGGGGTTTCCTCTCACGACTCGTGACTTGTAAATCCTTGGTTCTTATCCAATTGGCGATCCACCGTAGTTTACAATCGCACACTAAAAATCGTCCACCCAGGCTCAATCCCCTGAGAGTGCCATTGAGAGTGGCAAGGGCTTCCTCTGGTACTGTCGACAGCGGATTTCCATCGATTGCTAGGAGGGTGATCGAGGGATTGTTGTGGAAGGCATTCACTGGGAGTTCTGTGATGAGATTGAAGCCAATGTCCAGTACCTGCGGCGAGAAATCAATTTACTAGTCTATTTCCCTTTTACTATTTTTCCCTCACTCTCTCTTTAAATTATATAAAAAACAATAGAATACTTGATGTTTAATTTAATTTCATCATAGCGTAAAAATAATTGAAAATAAAAAATGAACATGTCATGAATTTCCTTGAATGTAATGTAGATATTCAGTGCATTTAGTAGAATTAATTTTTTTGTCGGTTGTTTGTAATTTTTTGATGGAAAAACTCACCCTGAGATCGTGAATACTGCTGATAGCCCCAGTAGGAAAATCAGGAATGAGATTATTAAGAAGGCTGAGTGAGCTCAAGGTGTCTTTAACGCCGTAGAAAGCATCGGCGTCGATATTCTGGATCAAATTCCTCTCCAAATTGAGTCCAGTTAAGGAACTCAAGCCCTCGAAGGCTTTTTTACCGGGTGCCCCAGGCAATTCCTTGATACCATTCTGCGATAAATCCAGAAAAGCGAGTGTTCTCAAGCCTCTCAAAGCATCTGGCACAGATTTCTGACGAGTGCCCTTTAAATTGAGATTCTTCAACGATTTTTCAAGGCCCCTGAGTGCCCCAGGAGCCAGTGCAACGTCGTTATCAGCTATTTTTAGGGTAACGAGTTTGAGATTTTGAAAGGCATCATTCTCAACCCTCGTAATGTTGTTCAATGAGAGATCCAGAACCGTTAGATTACGGAGATTTTTCAACGTCGACGTTGGTACCTCGATCAGCTCATTGTCTTTGAGATTGAGAGTCCTCAGAGAGCTCTCCTGACCCTTGAATGCATCATCCTCTATTGTTTTGATTTTACAACCGGATAATTGCATATTGTTGATACGCAGAGTCGAGAGGGAGCTATTTTTAAGAATACCGATGGTACTGTTATTTATGTAAAATAAATCAACAGTTGTCTTGGCGGCATAGTGTCTGATGGCTGATAGAAGCTGATTAAAGTCAACAATGTCACATTGCACTGATAGCTCTCTCGCTAAATTATAATCGCAGATGCAAGAGCTATCCAATTCGGTGACCTGAGTTGCCCATGGGCATGGGGATGTTGCCGAGGACAAACCGATTATTACAGCTAGGAGCAAACACTTCTGTGACATTTCACCTGCAACAAAACAAATTATTCTCTCAGGCTTCCAACTATCTCCAACTGTCATCAATTGTCAGCAATGGTATCAACGAAAAATATCGCATTTTCCCCCGAACAATTTTTACCTTTAAATCGACATTCTTCAGGGCTAGGAGAATACTCATGTCACTGGGGTTCTTACAGGAAAAAATGATGTGTAGCCTTGAAGGAGAGTCGTACAAACGTGAGCAATCTCATAGGCCAGACCCGTTACGAGTCAATGGCCCGAACGCTGGGTTTGTCTCAAACTCCCTCGGACACCATTTCTTTATACCTGTCGATGATATTATACAGCCGAGGTACTCCCGTTACAAGAATTCTTCATCTACCCGAAAAGGTGAAAAATCTGGTCGCGTGATTTTTCCCTCCAGGGAGAATACATCCAAGAATTCGCAGGGAACTTCATTCTCTGGGGAATTCATGCTTTTCGAATATTTAATGGATTTTCCCTCGGAGTTAATTACTTCGTGAAATATCTATGGATCTGATTATTATTAAATTATTACTTTATCCGATTATAATTAATGAGGGGCGGCGATTTATGGCGATTTTTTTTTTTTCAATTAATCAATTCTTTAGGCATGATTCAGCGATTGGAAATCGTGCGACTTCCACGATTTCCACGTGGATCATAATTACTCGGATTTTTCAATGGTTTTTCTGCAGTTTAATAGAGCGTTGCGGTTTGCGCGAATGGTATAGAACAATTTCAATGTCTCTAACTGTTTTATTTCATT